AAAAACACCATAATCTTGATTCAGACATGCTTCTTTTAGGATTGCCTATGGTTTGGGCAGGTTTCACAGTCCCTCTGCTCCCCCTGCTGTTGCCATGTGAAAGAGCAGGGGGTTAGAACACGACCAAATCCTGCTCCATGACCTCCTCAATGTCAAGCATTTTATTCTGAATGAACATCTGAGGCATGGAAATGACTCCAAGAATAATTTATAAATTTGCAAGCTGAGGCCAAGATTTTCAAATATAACCAGGGATTTTGGGTGCTCAAAACATTGTGAGAAGCCTGATTTTTAGAAGGCACTCAAGCTAGGCATCTAAAAATCCAGGCATCCAAATCATTAGCTACTTTTGAAAATTTTGGCCATAAACCTAAGTACTCTTACATGAATGACTACTAGGTGTAGTCTAGTAGTCTAGTCTAGTAGTCTATTCTTTGTGAGGAGTTTTACTGACCAGGAATAACCATGGTACTCAGACCTGGGTTCTACATACACGTATGAACATGCCTAACTAGGCACTGCTTGTGTTCCTGAAGTTAAGCTTGACTTCAGCTATTTATGCAGCACTTTTCATCCAGCAATCTCAAAGTACTTTTGAAAAGATTGGAAGTCTCATTACTCTCATGTTAACCCTGGGGAAACTGAAGCAGAGGTCAAGTGAAGTGCCCAGGGTCAAACAGGTAGCCAACACCCAGGCCCAGGAACACAACACAGATCCATTCCAGGGCCCAGGGTGGTACAGAGGACCACTAATCAACATAATGTATGAAACTGCTCATGAGACGAGACAGAAGGGAGAAAATAGTGGGAGAAAATAGAGAAGGGAGAAAATAGAGAAGGGAGAAAAAATATAGAAAGGGAGAACATATAGAAAGGAGAAAAAAATGGAAGGAAGAAAAAAGAAAAAGAATCCTAGATTTCTTATAAAACCATACTCCTAAATATACAAAGTGGTTGTGCGCCTGTGGGAAAAATTTGACGCTGCAGATGCGTCTGGTATAAGAAAGTCTGCTGAGCTGTGTAGAGGCGGCGAATAAAATGCTCCAGGCTTGTGCTTCTTACACTAGAGAGTCCCTAATAAGGACAGAAGAATGGAAGTAGAGTGCAACCTCAGCTTTAGTTTCCCACATCCTTAGCAGGGCGGCTAGGAATTTAAACCTATTAGATAGCAAGAAAAAACTAACTCCACCCATTCTGACTACATGCATCTGTATGGGAGCTCATTTTATTGCTAATCTCAAAATATTTGTTAAAACTACCTCTAAGATTGTAGGAGGCCAGACCAGATGATCTTAATGATCCTTTCTGGCTTTAAATTCTATAAAAGAAGAGAAAAATATGTTAATTATGATATTTACGCCAGGGCCAGGCTGTAAATAGGTGGATTACAGTCAAGTGCATTAAACCAAGTATCATTTTGAGAGACATTTGAACATTTTGATCCAGAGAAACTGTTACATTCTGCCTGCTTGATGCAAAGCAGCTGTAAAGCCATCACAAGCAGCTAGTTAAACCATGATTACAGCTGCTTTGGACAGATACAAAGCAGTTAGATTGCACTGATGGCCATATGATCTCAAAAGCCCCTCACTGCTTGCTACAAATGTAGAATGGAAGCAGAAAGCAGGGTAGTTTTCCTTAAGTCATTAGAAATCAGTTTTCTGACACAGAAGAGAGTGCAGCAACACTGATTTACACCTGTTTACCTTTGTGAGGGAGTGAAGGAGCAGCCCGAGCCGGCAAGAGAAGCGGCGGGCTGAGAGACTCCCTCATCTGCAAACGCCAATCCACCGCAGCTGGAAGCTGTCGCACAGCAACATTTTTCTAGCTAGTACTTCCTTCAGATTGGAGGAGGGAGTCCAGGACTGGCATTTGAAACCCCAACTGCAAATGCTCAGGGAGAGAGAACTTGGAAGCCAGGAGGCTTGGGGAGACAGTCGGGACTGGAAATGGCCAAACCAGCAATACTGGCTGTCCCAGCAGAGGTGGCAGACCCATCCGAAATGGAAGACCTGGCAGACTCAGCTGTCCAAACTGCCGGTTGGTGTCGAACACTGAGGAGGGCAGCCAGATTGGGGCTAGCTCTCTGCAAGCCAGTCAAGCCTTGCAGCCCAAGGGCTGAACTAGGAGCCTGGACCACTTGGCTGCATAACCAGGGAGAAGCTTTGAAGAGAGAGGAAGACAGAACCACAAGTGGTCTACCCCACTCTGAGTGAAGTTTGTTTCTTTTGTACATTTTTTTCTGCAATTGTTTTCTTGGGCATTCAGTTGGCCTCACCCTGCGTTGAAGGGCATGGTAGCATGGGCATACATTGAGAGAATGAAGTGACTGTGCTTGGTGTTGCCAGAGGCTCCAATGCCCTCAATATAGGAAGTCTTGGCTGGCTTCCAGTGAGTGTATGTTGTTCTTTTGATACACTGGATGAGTCCTTTAAGCTGCTCGGGGAGAGTGAACGATACGGGACCTGGCCTGGGTTCAGAATAGACTGCATGTAGTTTGTTTTCTTCTTTTTACCGGAATACGTCTAGACAGTTGCCTGGATTGGCGGGTGATCAGCCCTGGAGAATACATGACTTGGACTGTAACCAGTGGTACTTGAACAAGGCAACATATGCTAGAAGGAGGTGAAGTCATTATATTTTTCCTTCATCGAGTTACCCATTAGGGTGAGAACTTTATTCCTTGATCAAGACAATGACTTTAGTACGGTATGGAATGGGTAGGGGGTGTAAGGGAAGGAGGAGCCCCCCAAAAGATCGAGTCGAGAACCTTGGGATTGAACCTATCTGCACACTTTTTCTCCTGGTTCAATTAGGTATACCATCAAGTGATGGTGGGCGAGAGCATGAGAGTTTAGTCCAACCGCAGATACAGACGCCCTGAGGACTTTTGCTGATGATCTGGCCAATAGACTACATTAGAGGCATGGACCCCAAACATAACGGAGAAAGCCTTGACAACCTTATAGACCAGAGTATTTCTTGTTTGATGAAGCATGGTTTTGCACTAGGAATTCTCCTTGTAAAGCAGACAACATACCAATTTAGCTACTGTCCAATACCCACACTGCTGTCCATCATAGCAAATATTCTTTATTAGACACACAGCATAATTCATGACAAAACATGTCATTTTATTCATTTAGTTTTGACATTGAAGGGCACTAGACATCTTAAAACATTATTTATAAGGAGTCCCACTTACAATGCCATTCAGAACATCAGTGTTGCTTTTGTTATTTCTAAGAAAGAATCCTTAGGTGGGGATCATGTCACCCTTATGAAAGAGTCTGTAGCAAGGGAATTATGACAGCAAGTGAGGTTTACATAAAACTAACAGCCATGTTATGCTCAAAATGCTTAAGTTTATTGCTCTATTTAATGACTACCAGCAGTATTTTTTTGTAAAAGCCAGTTCACTCTGCTAGCTTCTCACTGAAGGAAATATTTTAAATACAGCAATAAAGTTAAGTGATTTAAAGATAAGACATGTTGCCATATTCATGCAAACCCTGCTGACATGAAATTTATTGGTACTTGGATACAAAATAAAAAACAAAAGACATGTATTGAACTTTTGGGAAAAATTCCCCACAGTGACACAGTAAGTTGTAGAAATAGCACTTCAGGCCTGAACTTGTGCCCACTGAAGTCAATGGCAAAACATCAGTGAAAACAGGATCGAGCCCTTATAATTCTGAATGCTGTTTGATCCTTTTCTGATCAGCAAGTGCAATAAATTCTCAGAATTTTCAGCACTAATACAAGTATAATTTTGTTGCTGTTGTTGTTAAAAGCAAGTTGCAGATAACTTTAATTGCTTGTCGTGCCCCAATTCTTAAAGCACTTAAACACACATGCTTAAATATATGCCTATTCATTAGGGCACTCAGGCATGGATTTAATGGGTCTAGACACATGCTTAAACTTAAGCAAATGCTTAAATCTTTTCCTGAACTGGGGCTTAGAAGATAATTAGGAGCTGCAGTGTCTGTCTAAAAGGAAGTGCTGCTGCACAGATCGTTGGTTGTAGGGATACAGGGTTGAGTGACAGTCTGAATGTATTTTCAAAGTCAAACACTTGGTTTATGAGTTTTCAAAGCTGCCTACGGGATTTGGATGCCTGATTCCCATTTTCATGAGAACTGGGCTCTCAGCTCACTTGACAGCAAAGAAGTGACCCTTTCCTGTCTACTCAATAGAAGTGGGCTTTAAGTCACAAAATTCACACTTAGATTTCGAACATCTCAAAGTTCCAAGGAAATTGTATCTGGGAATTTGGGCTGACAGCATACAGAAGCCATTTGCAAAATTCAAATTCTGATCCAGATTTAGATTTCAAAATACACACAATGATCAGGGAAGTTTGAAGTGTTTTGTTTTCAGACTCCTCTCTCATTTTCACCACAGCATTTCAATATTGTTATAATCCTACGGCATACTGCAGTTAAGGAAATAGGAATTGACTTAGGTAAATTATTTAACTTTTCCTCCCTTTGTTCTGACACCACTGCTACATCTTGTGGATTTTTTTTTAACAAGCAAACATGAAGTGTGAAACATTATTTCAATATGAATCAAGTTGAATCCTTAAATGCAGAGGCTCAGAAGGTTTATGATATACACAGTATTCGGTAGTTTTAAAGGTAAAAACAATCAGAAAAAGGCAAAAGTTACTTTCAAGCTTAGTCAACATACGGTACATATTTCAGCATGACAATTTCAAAAGGTTTCACACTGTATTTGGATAGATTAGCAATTAAATTGTTTTTTTTTAAAATAGCAAACTCAAGACACAAAGTGGAATTTTTTTGATTTTGTAACAAATGAAGCTACTATTTTTATTTACAGTATAAATAAGCTGGGGGTTGTTTTTTTTTTGGTGAAGATAATGTCCTGCCACATATGTGTAAGACAAGTAGTATCTCAACTCTTCAATGCAAACAAAAGCATAAAAGAAGCAATATCAAAGTAAAACAATATATTATTTATTTATATTTATGTATGTATGTATATGTGTGTGTGTGTGTGCGCGCGCGTGCGCGCATGTGTATCTTCAACTAAGATGGCTGAGTAACCATATGTCTCTTATCAGATCTGGAATATATCTCATTCCAGTCAGAAGTTCACTTGGGTTTAGCCATTAGGACTACCATGAATGCTTATTCTTCTGCTGCTCTAGCGAGCTGCTTCCCATACAAGCTCATGACATGGTGGACAAACTGATACTGTTCACAAGTCTGGATCATTCCTCCCCTGAAAAGGAAAGCAGAGAAAGGGAAGGGGAACAGTACTTTAATTACCTATATTGTTGTACTCAGTAGTGCCATGTCTAAAATGAAAGTGGAACTATACACCAAGATTATATTCCAAAATCCACCAAAGTCAACGGAAAATCTCCCATTGACTGCAATAGGCCTTGGATCTGACTTTGGTTGGCATTCAAAATAGAAATCCATTTCACCTTCCGTTTCCCCCTCAGCAAGGCTCTAATTCCCTGAAGATACTATTATCATTTATTATTTCTAGTATAGTGGTGCCTCTAGTAGTAGGACTGTGCATACAGACAGTTACACAGAGGCTACGGTCCCACCCCAAAAAATGCTCTAAATAGAGAGAGAAGGCAGGCAGAACATATAAGAGGAAAGGGGTGAGGCTACTTCCCCGGTTTTAGGCCTGTGACATCACAGGATGGTGTGTTTTGGAATAGCCCCAGTGAACTAGGGACAGCCAACAGGATTTCAGAGTAGACAAACACATTTCAGCAAAGAATAGTTTGGAAACTGGTGACTGAGCTGACAACATCCTGCTTAGCAAAGACTTTCAACACAAAAATCTGGCCTTCTTCAGCTTTCATTTCAGTTTTGGTATTCGCCTTTTAAAGCCATATTGCAAACTTGAAAAGCAAATGAGTTACTCTTTCCTAATGATATAACTAGGCAAGAGCAAACATATGGCTTATTTTTCAATGTATCCTTCTATTTTAGCAGAATATTAGGAAACATACAGATTTATAGCAGGAGCTAGAGCTTAGCAAAAGGGAATGTGGGTAAAGATGTTCAGTGCTGAATAGGATGTTTTTACCATTATCTAAAGCTTTGCTATCAGCTTCTCACAATATCTAACAAATACTGTGATAAAAGTCTACTGATGGCCCAATAACAAAGTGGCTAAAATCCATGCACATGAAAAAACAAATGAAACAAAAAAGGTTTTAATTCACCAAGGGTTAACAGAATTATGCCAGCAGAAGCACTGGTTCATGGATTTAGAAATTGCGGTGGTGACCTTACTTACACTGAGGGATGGGTGATGGAAGTTGCAGGGGGCTACCACTGCCCTCTTACAGGGTCTACTTTAGGGTGGGAGAAACATGGCAATGCCTTATTTCATACAATCCTGCAGCAGCCTCCACCAGCAGTGGAGTTCCACAGGAAATTATGGAAAGCTTCCTTGAATGCTGGAGGCTGCAAGTGAGGGCCTTGTTACACATTATACTGTGAGCCCTGCAAAAGTTTATTGGCTTAGTCCTAGCTTTGCAGTCATACCTTCAATTTGAGCAGCTCATCTGTGGGGAGTGGCCACACCTTAATGGAATGGGAGCTGGGTTATGCGGAGCAAGAAATAATCCTGCCCTGGAGTGGCGGGACTTTGAGCCGCATAACGAGTGCTTTAAACCACTAAAAGGTGTCAATGTGCGGACAATCCAGGAGTTGAGAGCTCCAGAAGCCACCCAGGATTAGTGCATAGGCCCTGAGAGAGGAAAGGGCCCTGAGAGTGGAAAGGTGGAGAAACCCCTGGCCATACCCCAGTCGCTCTCCCTTTCAGCATCTACTCTCTGCCCCTGTGTGACACAGGCTACTGGGCAAGATGGACCTATGGTCAGTAAATGACAGTTCTCATGCTCTTATGTTAAAGCTGCTCCCTCTTGGCTTAAGGAAGAGTAGACAGCATTCCCACCAACTGCCATCTCCTAGCATGAGCTGCCCTTGTGGCAAAAAGGGCCTGGTTGGCACAGGGAAATATAATATACCTGCTCCAGCTCCAGTGAATATCTTACAAACACTAAAACTACAACAGAAGGGCCAGACTGGATACAAAGGACCTCCTCCTGGACTCCACTGACTGAGGGAACCCTGTTTTGATAATCCTTATTTTTTTGAACTGCTGTTTGTGAAACAGCATCACTATTTATCTGTGTCAAAGCGTGTCTGCTGCTCATGGCATTGAAAATATATTTTCGACAATTCATGACACAGGGAATGTTAGTCTATCTGGTGATTACTCCCCATGCAATTCCACTAAGAGCTAGGTTGTACCCTAAAGTTATGGCAACAGAAGCAGAAGAGTGGCCATCGAGTTTTAGAACAGTGGAAGCGATTTTATTTTTATCTTATTCTCCATTGTGCTGTGGCTTCCTCTCCTTCCTACACACACCTGCCTCATGACAAGCGATAGCTGTTCAGAGTTTAGTAAAGATTAGATAAATTATATTTTCACCCATGTTTCCACAGAGACCTTCTGGAAACCATCTCTCAAACACTGGTTACAAGGAAGCTGGAAATACCACTCTCCTTTGTCACGTCAACTTTATTTTTAGGAACAAATGCCAGACTCCTGTATAGTATCTAATGCTTAGACCTTGTGAAAGTGAACCATGCAGGGTTAGCAAGAAGAAATCTTTGTCCCTCCAATCAGACAGCAAGCTGAAGAACAGCCCACTGCTTCCTGTAGGGGCCAATGTCCTCATGATCCCAAATTGGGGTAATGGCAAGTGGATCCACTTAGTTTCAGACCTTGTTCTGCCATACAGAAGTACTTTGCAGAGACAGATGGAGATATCTAAGCCCATCATGCCTGAGGTTCTGTGTTGCCTCTGCCCCTCACAACTACCAGTTGTGCAATGTAATTCCCTTTGGTCCCCTCTGCAGCTCACGTGGCTGGAAGTAGCTGTCCCTAAATGTTTAGGTGCAGAGGACACTTCTCTTGAAGATGACAAAGGGAAGTGTTTGAAGGTGGCTGTCAGCAGCACCACCCTTTTACTGTGCACATCTTATAACACCTGATGCCAGAGGGGTCCAGAAGAGACACTTATGTCTTCATATCCTAGGCCAACAGTGCACATCATTTCATTTTAGGAAAGTCAGCTTCCCAAGGTCAGACACTGCACATCAGATATTTCACCAAAGGCATGTCTACATGTTCATCAATGTGCCATAATTGCAGTGCGTTAACTTTAGTGCCTATAATGGCACATTAGCACAGATGAATGCTTTGTTAAAGACGTTAATATGCATTAGACTAAACCTATCAAGCATTAGTGCATTAGAATGGGTTTTGCCCGCCGTGGTAATGCACAGTAGAATTAGTCTTCTGCACATTAAGTGTCTCATGTAGACACACCCCAACAAGCTGAAACTCCTCCCTGCAGTTCCCAAGCAAGGAGAGGATTCTTAGGGCTAATGCCCATACCTCTATTGCCCTGCACAGATCAAGGAGTTTTCCTGCAAATGTTTAAGCTGACTCATAATAACCTCACTTCCTACAATACCTCCTTCAAGTCCCTGGAGTCTCTTGCCCTCCTGTCATCCTGTTTATCCTGCTTATGAAACGTGTCCAGTGATTATTGGCCAAAGACATTGCTTCCAGCTATGCCAGGGATAGGCAATTATTTGGGCCTGTGGGCCACATAGGCAGTTCAGGGGAGCTCCCATGAGCCAGTTGCTCCCCCCCCAGCAAAAGCTCAGAGCCCGCGCACTACCGCCAATAGAGCACAGCCACAGCCCTGACCCCAGCCCATCATACATCTGCTCCGAACTCACCCCGGCTGGAGTGGACCAGCCCAGAACAGCATGCACAGCCCAGAACCTGGCCCACCCTGTGCCCGCTCCAGACTGCCCACCCACGCTGAGCAGTGGCAGGGCAAAAGCTGTTGCTCAGCATAGGGGAAAAGCGGCCCCTCTCCCTTACTGCTGTGGGGCGCTTCTGGCTGCAGCTGTCTGGAGCCTGTGCCCAGGCTGCCCTGCAGCTCCTCTCTGCTGCCATCACCACTGCTTCTGGGCTGTCCAGCAGGGCAGTGGTAGCAGTAGAGGGGAGCCACAGGTCATGCCAGGCACAGGCCATCCCAGACAGTAGCAAGGTGGAGAGGCCACGTTTCCCCCGTGCCAAGCAGCATTCTGTCTAGCCACCACCACTGCTGCCACAGCTCAGCGTAGATGGGAGAGTCTAGAGCAGGCATGGGGCAGCCCAGGATCGAGGCAGTGTGCACGGGTTCCAGCTGGTCTGGAGCTCGTTTGCTCTGCTGGGCTGAGTCCAGAGTGGGCGCAGGACAGGCTGGGGTTGGAGTCTGCACGTGAGTCCCTGCCAGTACCATGAGGCCCAGGCCAGCAGCAGCAGCAGCTGGAAGGAGTTGCCACCTGGGCTGCCTAGAAAGGCAGTCCAGGCAGAGCCCCACTGTGTGCCCACAGGGTGGTGGGACATGCCACAGGCTGGATGGTGCCTGGGCTAGGTGGGACTGAGGGACCTACCACTGGCTGGACAAAGTCCCTCCGTGGGCTGGATCCAGTTCACAGGCCATATTTTGCCCACCCCTGAGCTAAGCCCTTTGAAGTGTTTGCCTCTCTATAATTATTGCTTCTGGTGCCAGAGTAGGAGCTAGTGATGGTTCATGAAGATGGCAAGAGATAGACAAAGGCACAGGTAGATTTGATCACTCCTCTTCCCTTCCCTTTGCCAGCACCCGCCTCCCTGCAAGGCTAGTATTCTTCAGATGTGCCTCATGTACCAAACCTGTTTTTGACTGGACATCCTTGATGTTTTTTGCTTCTGTGGCTCCCCGCCTGTGAAGCACGTCCCTGTGTTACTCACAGACAGAAGTCAGTAGAGGGCATTTCAGACCTAGTGAACCTCACAGTGCTGTGACAAACCAATGGTTTATTCTTGCTTTTTATTTTTTTTTCTTATTTCTCATGTGGACTTTCATGGTCTGGGCTGACATCCACTGAAACAGCCAAATCACCAGGGCCTCTGCAGGACTCTGCCTATCAGGACCTCAGCGGGCTGACAAACATTTCATTTTCTGCCTCCCACTCATAACTGCTCCTCTGAAATAAAGCTCACTGTGGGGTTGAGGTTTCCTTTTTCTTTTTTTTAATCTTTGGTGTGTTTTTTGTGACATTCCTTCCTTTGACTACATTTATCATTATCATTAGAGAGAGCATTGAGACATGTTTTGATGCAGCTTGAAACCAGTGGGAGAGGAAAAATAATATCTCGGTGCAAAATTCAAGTCTCTTTATTTTGTGGTCAGAATCAAACCAGCATGATAAAGAATGCTTAAACAGAACCATTTGATTTTGGAGATCTTCGTGCCTCTATCTGCATGTCTGTAAACACTTTCACCTGGGTGTGAAGAGCACACACCAACTGCTGCAGCTTCCTGAGCCTGATGAAGGGTTTTTGAACCCGAAAGCTTGCTTAATAACTATTCTCCAACCATTTGGGTTGGTCTAATAAAAGATATCAAATTCACCCAAGGAACCTTGTCTGCCTATATCCTTAGACCAACACGGCTACAACCTAAACCCCTGCATTCCCCCTGTACATAACTCGAGCAGCTTCCATAGTCAGACCCTTTCACTACTGCTTACAAGGCCAACCAGAGTAGGACTTTTTCTTTACTTCTTCTGTTTCACCTCATGGTTGCAAGCACATCTGTGATTCTGAGACTAGTTTCTGTAGGGGTAATACCTTGTGGTTGGCAGCAGGACTCCCAGCCTTACTCCTTTGGTTAGAACAGTAGGACCAGATCCTCAAAGGGTATAAATCAGTTGTAGCTTCATGAAAATCAATGCAGCTATCCAAATTTATGCAAGCTGAGGATGTGGACCAGTTGTGACTTGCTGAAGCATTCTTTCCCTGTTGGGATTTTAGGGGACAACAGATTAATATCAGAACATAGGCCGGAGTTGTTTTTTAATGGGAGTTTGTCTCTTAAGTCACTTGGACTCTGAACTTTATTTCAAAGCAACAAGTATGTTCTGTGGGAGACAAAAAATTCTACTCACTGGCCTGCGTTTGTTTTTCTTTCCAATTCTCATTTCTTTTCCTCTTAAATATGTGGAATGCATATATTCACATATTTTATTTTGGAAAGGAAGAGAATTCCCTTACCTGTCTAGTCGTAACTGGCAGGTTGTTCGCAGTATGTCAACTATGCCCTCATTCTTCAACTCTTTACAACAAATGCTGGTGGCAATGAAGCAGCCTGTCCTTCCAATCCCTGCACTGAAGAGGTGGAAAATAGGGAAAGTGGGGGCAAACAACCCAAAAAGAGAAAAGCATTAGAACTTCATGTGTTATGTACATAATGTATGGTCAAATGCACCCCCTCCCTTTGCCCCTCCACACCCTTCTGGAAGCATGTGGCCATGTGTGTGCGCCTATTTCAAGGTATATATATTGTTAATATTCCACATGTGTGAAAAAATATTAACAGGTAGTAGCCCCCAAAAGCATTACTTGGCAACAAAGGCATTTTAAAGATGGTTATTCAGAGAAAAAGATATCATCTTGTGCAGCTGTATCATGCAACAACACAGAGGTTCAGGGTTTGAACCCCAAGCACAGACCATAACGTTGCAAGGGAGATGAGGCGAGGAAAGGAATACTTTGCAGTGTACACCACTGGTCATTCCATTGCTCAGACTGGTTGGGAAGCAGCACCCACAAATTCAAACTGGAGGGAGTGGCAGACTGCCCCCATGGCAAGGGGCTTTTATTAAATGGAATGGATGTGCTCTTGTCTCCTCAACAGCAGAATGCCTATTCTCAGAGAGGCAGAGACTAAAGTAATTCTGAACCACACTCTTTGCCTTGTCACCTCACAGTTGGTTACTCCATTGCTGATGGGGCCAAACAAGTACAGAAACTGGGTGTCTCATGGTGAAACAGGGATGGTTTTCCTACTGAAAGATTACACAACCGAGTGGGAATACAACTCAGTGGACAGGACAGGCAACATGCCTGGATATCTTTCCACTGGGAGAATCTTATAATAGGGAACCACATAGAAAGGAGAGACTATATTTACATAGTCAGATGTGTGCAACCTTACCTAAAAAGCACATTGCTGATCAAACACATGAAGGCAAAGTATCCTGCATTTAATAAATGCTACTGCTATATTATCTAGCTCTCATTTTAAAGCAACTGCTATTTCCTTGGGTATCAGAATGGAAAATACTAAGAGATGATGAGAAAGTAAAGGCTAGTTTCTAACACAGGTTCTAGACCTGCCTAGGGAGAGCCCTTTTACATAGTTGCATGGCTACACAAGCCTCGGACACATGGACCCTGCATGCCAACTGCTCTGTAATTGAGCAATAGCCACTGAGCAAGTCGTTGAGGTTGGGCAATATGAATAAGACCACCAAGAAAGGACCACGTCCTGTGGCAATGGGTAGCAGAACTGCTTAGAGATATCTTCTTTTCTTCCCTGGGAAGCTCCTAAACTGTTGTAGATGCATGTGCCACACACAGGGCTTGCAAAACTTGCAAAACTGAAATTGTGCCCTCAAAAAGACCAGGCACAAAAGAGATGATTCCCAGTGAGGACAGTGCTTCATAATGTGTGTAATGGACAGGCAGAGCAAATCAGCCTGTAATCATGAACACATTTTTTTTCAAAAGACATTAGCACTGAGATGAGGCAGGCAGTACAGAGTACAATGCCAAAGAGACCTTAAGAGGATCCTCTGGCCTTTGTCAGGCCTCTGATGACAGTGTACCACTTAAATAATAGAAGCAACAAATAACTTTTATTTCTCAGGCAAACTTTAGTTTGAAAGATATCCCCCTTGTGCAGTTCTCTGAGAGCTTCTCTGAACAATTTTCATTCATGCATGTTGTGATAAACATTGCTTAAATAATTATGGTGAACAGCAATATGGCAAGTCTGATGCCATTTGCAAAGTCATTCAGATCAGAAATCTTATAACTCTCTGGAGTTGTGCAAGATTCAACAAATTAGAGATTTTTTTCTCATTCTTTATCAATGAAAAAGTATTTTTCTTTTCAGCTGCTTCAGTCATTGGTTAAAAAACAGAGTTGGTGTTGTGCTGTTAAAGTGGCAATAAGAAGCTGTGAACTCTTCTTACCACCTTAATGAAGAATCAGCTGCAAAGCTGACAACACTCCTGCATGTTAAATAATTAAGTAAGCAGCCTCAAGAATAATTACCTTACACAATTGCCAGAGAACTTCCCTCTGTTTAAGCACTGTTAAAGTCATAAGAAAAAAACAGCAACAAGTGTATAGAAAACAATGGGGCTTACACATGGTTGCTGTTAGCAAAATTCTAGTGAGATTCCCTTCACTGGCACAGATGGGCTTATGACCACATCAGCAACATTTTCATGCAGAAATTCCTATTCGTGCTCACAACAACTGTATTTTAATGGCTTTAAACTGTGGTAAGAAAAATTCAAAGAGGAAGCATGGTTTTGCTCATAAGGCACTGGACTGGGGCTATGGAGAGCAAGGTTTAATACTTGGTGCTGCCATTAATACCTGTGAAAAGCCTTAGGTGAATCACTTAGATCCAGGCTCCATTTGGGTCCTTAGGTCTAAACGGAAATCAATGGTGCACAGGTACCTAGGTACTTTTAAAAATCTAGCTATTTTCTCTACCTACCTCACTTTCCAACCTTTTGCTCCTATTTTGTATCCCATTTCCCATTTTTTTGCCTATTGTATTTGTTTAGATTATAAATGATTCAGGCCAAGGATTACCTCATACTCTGTGTACCAAGAGCCAGGTACTCAGTCCCCATGGTTTGTGCATATCTCTATGGTAATAATGCAGATAGCTAACAATAAAACAGAGATCTTCCATAATGCTGGACATCCAGAGCTCTAGAATGTTTTACAAAGGAAGGTAAGTAGCATCCTAATTTTACAGACAGGAAAACTGATAAAGAAGGGTGAAGTGATTTGTCTGTGGTCAGACTGAAAGCTAGTGGCAGAGAGAAGAACAGAGTCCAGATCTCCTGTGGCCAGTGACTTATTTATAAGACCAAATTGGAAAAGACAACCTACCTTTAACATGAAGCTGTCTTTAGAGAACCTTGAAAGGTAGGAACATTAAAAAGAAAAGAAAAGAAAAAAAATCTGTGCTATACTGTATTTAAGAGGGCTGAACCTACTAGCAGGTTTATGCTCTAATGCAGGGCCAAATCCTGCAAGGTGCTGCATCTTACTCCAAAGCCAGTGAAAATGTGGTTATCAGCATATCACAGGGCCTGGCTGATGGTTTGCAAGTGCCCAATATATGTAATATACTACATACACTCCACATTTTTTATACAAAGGAATAAACAAGGACATTTGAGAGTGCTCTGGCCCCTAGCCATCATCCTCAAGTGTGTCTCAGACAGTAATAGCAATTTCAAAATAAAACCATTTTGTGTGGGAGGAGAACTCTGATGGTGCCATCACCAAACACCCCCATCATTTACAACCACGGAGAGAAGTGGTGCGGTCCTGTAAGTGATCATTGTACACAAAATGGGCTTATTTTGAAATTGCCATTTCTTTTTTGAAACATCCTCATAAAATGATTCAAAAGCCTGTCACTTCTTTCAATCTTTCAAACAAGTACCTAAGACTTTATTATAAATACCTAAGAGAAACACCCAAAGACCTATACTTCTACATATTAGATAGCGAGACAAAGCTGTAGGAAAAAACAAGCTTCCAAATCAAAATAGAAGGCTTATCAGTGGCTGGGTTCAATACTGTCTGTAAAAGAGTTTCTCATAGATTCACAGATTTTAAGGGCCAGAAACCCTTACTATCGTTATCATTAATTATTCTTCTAGCTCTTTTATGAACACTTTCATCATCCCTCTGTCATCATCCTTTTTGAAGAGAGGACACCAACACTGGACACCACTATCCCAGCAAGAGACTCACCAATGCTGTATGCAGAAGTAACGCCACCGTCCTGTTCCTACTTGACATTCCCCTGTTTATGCAGTCAAAGATCATGTTCACTCCTTTTGGTTATAGCAACACACCTGAAGCTCATGTTCAGTTCCTTATCTGCCATGACCTCTTAGTCCTTTTCAGAGTCACTGGTTTCCAGGTTACAGTCTTCCATCTTAAAAGTGTGACCTACATTCTTTGTTCCCAGATGTATGACCCTACATTTGGCTATGTTAAAATGCATGTTATTCAAATGAATTCACCTTACCAAGCAATCTAGGTCAATCTGGAAAATTTAACGGAACCCATCATTGTTTAATTCACCAACTTTTTATCATCTGAAAACTTTTACTAGCAATGATTTTATATTTTCTTCCAGATGATTGATAAATTTAACAATGGATAACAGTTCCCATTTACGATTAACTGAAGTCCATCAGTTAATCAGCTGTTAATTCAGCAACTATGGGGTGTGCTTTAATTAAGTACTGTGTTTACCTGAATTAAGGACTAACCAATCAGACTAATACAAATTCCTTGCAGAAGTTTATTATGGTATATCAGAATAGTAACCTTTAACAATCAACTTGCGATTCTATCAAAATGCTTTGTTTGTTTCCATCAGACCATATGATCGACAACAATTATGCACCTATCCTTTTAACTGATGACTGCACCTCATATCTCATATCTGTCTTTCCATAATATTACCTGGGATGGATGCTAGGTTGACTGACTTAGAGTTTTCCAGGCCATCTTATTTATATTTTATATGTATTGGCACAGCATTAGCTGTTTTTAGTCCTCTGGAACTGTTAATCTCAACATTACTGGTTTAAGAAAGTGTGTGGGCCAATTTGTTAAAAAAGTATATTTTGGGGAAAAAACTATCCAGCTGATTTAAAAATGTTTAATTTTAAGCAGTTGCTGTTTAAGAGCCTCCTTGGTTATTGGTGGAACAGAAAGTTATTTCATCATTACAGTAAGCTTCTTTCTAAAACACATTTCATTCTGCTTCTCTCTGAAGCACAGTAAAAGTATTTAATTATTGATGATTTTATCATCTTTGTTTGCTGCTGAACTCACAACATTTTGAGGACCGTGTTTGTTCCTAACATTGTCTTTAACCCATTGGCCGTAGATTTTTCAAGGATACTTTGGTTTCACTTATCAATTGTCTGTATAGTCTAAACACTGATTTGTACTCATTGCTATCAGATTCCCCATTGTTTTGCTTTTTATGCCTTTTTATTATGGTATCACTGCCTTCAGGAATTCTTTTTAATCAAAGAAGCCTTCTTTCATGAGTGCACAACTGTGGGTTTTGGGAGAGTCTAATGCATCAGTTATATATTTATGCTGAAATACTTCTTTCCATTCAGTTGTGTTCATGATGGTAATCAGCTTTTGGGAAACTAGCATCTTTGAAGCCCTGAGTGTCTATCAGTATGTATGGCTATATTGTGGTTGCATTTAGACAATCTTGGGTATGTCTGCATAGTAAGCATACCTTGCCAGACAGCAGTGCTGTCAAGCATGCTGCACTGCTCCAGGTAGGCTGCTTCCTAGACACAAATACAATGTAGCTGTGTCCTTGTAGTACTTTAGTCAACCTATTTAGTACTGCTGAGAGACAGGGCCATTCACCTCATCCCCATCCTAATCAGCCTATCTGTAGTGCCACACAGATGCAGCTTCATGGCATGGCAAATATACCATGTAGACATGTCTCATCCTTGTTCAGTTTGGTGATCAGTTCATCCTTATCTACCAGATTAAGATTAAGCATGAGAACTATGACAAATTAACTGCAGTACTTTCTGTACTGGAAAATTACCCTTATCTCTATTATTATTATTATTATTATTTTTAGAAAATCCAAGGATACATTTATCAGTGATTGCATAACACCTCCAGCTCATGTCCTCCTAGACTGACTTCCCTCATGATAATGTGATTTTTCTTTACAGACATTATAGATAGATTTTTAAGGAGTGGCTGGTGTGGCTTTTATCTCAGTGTCCTCATAACACTGTTGGTGAAAGAGCTTCATGGAAATCTAATATAACATTAACTTACCTGCAGTGGACAATGACTGGAGCATTCTTTTGTTCTGCATGCTGCATGGCCTCTTCCACTTCCTGCACCAGCTGTAACAGGGCTGGAGCTTGATCTGGTGTCTTTTGGTCTGGCCAGGATGTGTACCAGTAGTGTTTCAGGGTTCTTACTTCTTCATCCTTCTGTGACCCAGTTATATAGAAAATTAATGCTAAAGATGTAAACATTTTCCAAGATTTTTGCTTAACAACAAATGATAATGAACCTCTGCCTCTTTGGGGACAGCATAAGCAAGTCAGTGCTGAAGGAAAACAAGCATCTGCTCGACCAAATCCAAGGAACACAGACTTTCTGATGTTCAGAACTGATACTGTACACGAGCAAACTGGTAAACACCACAAATCAGCAAAAACACCACCAAAACAACTGTGTTCTTTTTTTGTGTTCTCTTCCCCATCTCTTTTTACTTAGTGCTAAAAGCTGTGTGAACAGCAGCCAAAGTCAGGTTGTTTTCTTCCTGGCATATTCATTCAGGGAGGCTAGAGCTTTGTTTGTGACATAATGACTTTTATAATGGATCTGAAAGACAAAGAGCCATATATTTTTTTTCTCTCTCTCCCTGACAGGCAGGCAGATACCTATTTCTTCCTGGTGGATGTATTATATCCTATCGATAATGACTTATAAAGTATAGATCCACTCAGCAGGCAATTTAGGGACATAGAGGGATGCGCTACTTGTGCCTCTAGTTGCAGCCCTGCATTCATTGTAAGGAACAAGTCCTAGTTTCCTCAGGGTCCCTGAATCACTATGAAAGCAGTAAGCATGCTGCCAGTTTGGAGAAGTACTTATTAGGTCTGTATACATAGGTATTTGGGTACCCAAAATGACACACCTTGTGCCTGTTCTGTGAAGATGCTGAGTGCTGCTGTGGGCCCTCTGTGTTTTGCCTCAGCATTGTAGCCATTACTTGGAACAGAAGATGTTGGGTTAAATAATTCTCGTCAAGGGGTAAAAGGTATCTAACTTTCAGCTTCCCTAGGCTTTCTTTAAACATATGACTGCATTTTAGGCTGGGTGGGGGTAGGGAGGAGGCAGAATGAGGAGCAATTTTGGCTTTTAACTAAAAACTAGAGGTAGCATTTTCGTAAGTGCCAATATGATGTAGCTATGTAAGTCACAAGGACTTTCAATAAAACCTAGGCTCCTTTGTGCCTAAGCCCCAGGTCCTCAAAAGGTATTTGGACATTTATCTCACGCTGAAAACACTGTGAGTGTCTTGAGGACCTGGCCGAAAGTCTCTTTTGAAAATGAGACCTTAAGAGCCTAAGAGGTTGTCTACACCAGCCACAGCCACAGCCACAGCCACAGCCACAAAGTGCTATGAAAATGAACTAGCTCAGTTACTGGTAGCAGGAAGCCACAGAAACACAGAGATGCTGCATGAGCTAGTTCACCCTGCTGAGAAGGTATCCTGAGAACAATGATAAACCATCCTCAGCTGCTGTTGCTGACAAATGTACACCAGCCTTTGGAGTGCAGTTGATGGATTACATCATATTTCTAATCCATTTAGATGCTTAAACATCTCATCTCTGAATACGGGAGACTGTCCATAGTACTGGAGAATCCGATGTAATTACTGGCTTCTGTGGCTTTCATTGCCATGTCATTGATTGCAAATGTAGTAGTGGAAGGCATCATTGCTACATTATGACAAAAGAATAGTTTCAGGCAATGGCATCTCATTAAATGAAACCTTTATTTCCATTCTGCCCGGTGAGAACTAATTGATTATCAACTTCATTGAAACCTGAGGTAGTGCTTAACTGAATAACCAATGGGGATATGACCTTAAAGTTAATAGCCAGTGGAAAGAGTAGTTTGTGTGGAAAAGGAACTATGTACTTGACATGAAATGTCAACAGAGGCCTCAGTGTCATTTGTCACAGGATAATGCTCAAATTTCTTGGCTGTGATTAAAGTGTTTTTTTAAAAAGAATAAATTTAAATATTTTTCTATTGCTCTCTCCATTTCTATCTGAAATCTGCTGCTCTCTTGCTCCCTTCTTCTGTTTGGTGCTGGCTGAGGTTATCAGACAATAACATGCGAGATCTATCCAATAAGTGCTTTAAATTTGGCCTTTTCTTGTGGGATCCTGTGTAACCATAGACACAGTAGACCCTATGTTTATCCCTGCAACAGATGCACAGCTGAGGCTGAACTCTGCTGCCCTTATTTAGTCACTTTACCAGAAGAAGCATTGAGGAGGGACTGAAAGATTTGTAATACAGCTCGCTTGCATGGCAGAAATAGGTTACATCCTTGGAGGTTTTCAAAACCTGGCTAGAGAAAGCTTTGCCTGGGATGATCTAGTTGGGGATGGTCTTGCTTTGAGCAGGGGGTTGAACTAGATCAACCTCGTTTGTACCAGAACCCATCTGTAAACATTGATGGCCAGTCCTAACCCAATGTCCCTCACTCCCAGCCCGCTGACTCCCACCCCCTGGCCCCAGCCCCCAATGTGTGGGGTAGGGGGTGTCTGTGGAGCACAGGCACAAGGGAAAAGCCATGGTTTCCCATGTTTTTCTTCTTTAAAGGAGAATCTATTTTTTAAGTTTGTTGATTCCTTTTTAAAGTTTGTTCATGACCCTTTCATATATATTCTTGTGGCCCATGGGTTGAGAAATGCTGGACTAGATGACCTCCTGAGGTCCCTTCCAACCCTAATGTTTTATGATTCTAAGAAGAAAAAATTGTCCAGCGGGGATAACTGTTAATACTACATGTAGCATGGTATTGTGGTCATTTGAAGAACTTAATTTGCATCTAGGTTTATATTTGTAGGGATAAGCAAAAGAAGAATTGTCTCCTCTTCCTTCTTCTCTTTGTTGTAGCTATCTGTTGTCTACAGCCTTACACTTAGACTGTAAACTCTTCAGGGCTGTCTCTGTTATCATTTTATGCAGTGTCTAGTACAAAAGGGCCTGACCTGGATGCACTACAGCCATATTAATACTAATGAGGTCTCACTAGTACAGCTGGTCAGAAAATGGAGAGAGCTATCAACTTCCTGTGGAAAATATCAATGAAAGTCTTCCCAAACCTACCCCTACCAAATTCTTTTTAATCAATATTTTTTATTTTGTCTTTTCATCAAAATAAGAAAGAGAAAAAGGTTTTAGTCAAAATTTGATTTTTGAATAAAAAATATAAAAGTCGTTCATATTAAAACACGTTGTATTTAATCACATTTCTGATTAACCTTGTGGATGTTGTACTCTGACAGGGATTTTGGATCCTATTGAGAAAATATTATTGATCCAGTATAACTAAAATAGCTCAGACTGTAAGACAAGAAGACTGAAGTGGAGTTAGGCTGGATATTATTCTTGCTGCTGTTTTGCACTGTCTGGGATAGGCTGTATTTAAGACTGTTGCAAATCTGTCACATACTTGGAAATAATCTTTCCTTCCCACTTATCTGGGAGTCTGATGTTAGCCTCATCTTCTGTGCCAAATGTATGACTGACAGGCTTTTCAGGCTCTAAATCCAAACATGGGATTTCAAAGGATGGCTTTCTGCCTGCTAGCATAAGGTTGATGAGACTTGAAACTGTATGCATGAAAGGAAGCTTGTTCTCAGCAGAGGAAGTAATACTGCTGGAGCTGGTAGAAGTAAGTTCTGTAAAGGTCATGTATATAAGACTGTTCCTATTCAGTAGGTAGTTTGAGACTCTAGCACCTAGTGATGAAAAATGAGCTATAAAAAGGCAATGGTACTTTAGAGCAAGTAGTAATACAATAGTTAGTATAAGGAAACAAGCCTGTATTTGAGTATGTATGCATGCATCCACAGGTTACTTTAGCTAGTATGAGTTGGAAAAGCTAAGTGTTTTAATTCAGTTAGTTGGAAGGATTCTGTACTCAGAAAAAAAGTTAACATTTTTGGGGAAATTCTCAGCAGAAGTTATCAGCAATTTAGTCTGATTATTGTAGAATGTTTTCTTTAAGTGAATTCTGTGCCAGTTTATCTAAATTCAAATAATTAGGATGATACGTATCAGCCATAGTGAATAGAGGTGGAATTACTGGATCAACAACCAGTAATTAGATTCATAGATTCATTAGGGAGAGGAACTAGAGATAACTCAGAGGCCAGAGGTATATAGAACAAATGATCTAGGTAAGACAATTTCATCCAGTCCTCTTTGGTGCAGTCAAACATAGGCAAACTTCAAATTTCTCCTAGGCCACCATGTGCCCTTTTCACTGAGCTTTTCATTGCCAAGAGAGTGGGGAGGAGTGTGATCTGTGGACCATTTACTATAGTTCACCAGTGGTCTAGGATCACAGTTTGGGAATCACTGATGTAGGGGATAGGACCAGGGTCCAAAAGACTTGCATCCAAATTCTCAACTTTACAACATTCTCAGTGGTCCAAAAGGCGCTTCAGGGGCGCTTACACCAATGATATTTTAATGTGATCAGGCCCCTGAAAGCACTCTATAGCTGTGATTTAATACATGTGCACCTGGAGAGTGCTTTTAAAATGACCGCTTGCACAAAAAATTAACCCTGGTAAAATGCAGTATTAGATTCATAGATTCACAGTGTTAGATTAAAGTTCTGTAAAGTGGCGCACCTTAGGGAACTTGTGCTCCCTTCAGGGTTAATTTTTGTGTGTGGAAGCAGGGCTGGGCTGGTGCTCTTGCCTACAGGAACAGGGGCTCTCAGCAAGGGAGGGGAAGAGGAGAGGGAGTAGCTAGCACAGAGCTGCCAGCTGCTTTTGAATGGCTAGAGCTAGGGAGGGAGCAGGGTGGAACGAAGCCCCCTTGCCTCACAGCCCCCCCACCCCAGCTACTCCTTGGATGCTGCTGGAATGCCCCCACCTGCTGGCCAGGGCCAATGCAGGCAGGCTCCAGCTACCCCCACCCTGACCCAACAGGCAAACTGCTGAGTTAAGGGTGGGTCCTAACTCATGGCACTTTATGTAATGTGCCATGAGTTAGAGTAGGGCCCTGAACATCTGTAGACACCCTAGCTGTCTATACAATGTTTTCTGCCAACAATTTCACAAGTACAACAGCATCTAAGCTATTTATTAACCTTAATAAAAAAAACCCTATACACATACTTTAAACTATTCCCTGATTAACAGCTTCTTGGGATGCCTGTACAATCTAGGACATGCAAAATCCACATACAGCCAAATACTCATTCAGTGTATGAAGGCATCCTTATCTTACACAAGCTAAGGATCTGATCCACATTGCACCATGCTGCCTTTGTTCTATTCAGCATCATCCCTAGGTTTATCACATTACACTAATACTGATGTCTGTACTATGGACTTATGAAGGATAGTTTAAAGTAGGCAAGAAGCTATCCCTGAACTACCATGCCACCCTAAAATGACCAGTCCCCTTAGAAGACACTCACACAGAGTGACTCACTTGGTTTCTCCAGTGAATGAAAATGAAAGGTCCTATTACAAATGGCCTGGAAGTCTTCAAACTGCACATACTCAGTCTAAATCCCTGACTGCCTATACCAAGGTTGGCAACTTATGGCTTACAAGCCAGATCCGGCCTGGGGAACCAATGAATCCAACCCATGGAGGTACAGCCTCAATAGCACTCAGCAGTGGGAGGTTTCAGCTGCAAATGTTCTCCTTATGCCTTTGCAGAGACAAGTGGCACTGGCTGCTGGGTCCTAGTACCTGCCCATCTGCCCACCTCTAACCCATGGTAAGTCATTCTGGCCCACAGCTGGAAAAGACTGCCTACCCCTGGCCTGTAGTACTAGAGTGTTGACTCATTTGTGAACTGGGCAGGGGCACAGTGACTACCATAATGTAAAGTTGTATGTGTTCAGCAGCATACAGCAGGTAGGGTCTATACTCAGCTCCCTTTGAACAGTCCTGTTTTAGATTGAAATTCTCTGTTATTGTAAAGGCATTTGAATGGTCTTACCTTTAGGGTAATGAGTCTTAATCGGTAATCATCTGCTTGTATGACATGGTTAACTGTGATTTCTATTCCTTCATAGGTGACCTGATCTTCTGGCCAGTATTCAGTACACTTCTGTGCAAAACATAAAATAAATGCATTTAAGCAGATGGTGCAGGAGGTTTTCTTTACTATTCTGAAATTGGTGAAGTGATTGTTTCCATACTGAGATGTAACACAACTTTTCAGTTCAAAGACAGGGGCTACATTTTTAGGTTCTGGTCTTTTCATTCAAACCACTTTTGGTGTTCAATAAAAACTATTAAATGCACTAAAAAAATAAATGCATACAGTACCGCATTTAAATGTGCAAATCCTGGCTTGTGTTTGTGTAATGTGATGTAACTGCTCATTTTGAAGATTCATTTGGAATGCCAGTTGGAAATGTGGCTGCATCCTGTGCATGTATAGTAAGCTTATTGTTATTATAATGATTAATAGTTATTAATGTTCTGCACTTTGATTATTAATATGTCTGTGCTGTGAATAAATTGTTATGGAAATATACAATACAACTTTTCTGTTTATAAAAAGAGCTGTTGCTCCCTGAATTTAAAATTGTAATCTGCATGCCTTTTTGCACAAAAGGACATTGCTGGAGATGTCTTTGGAGTATAGTTTATGCATGAAAATCCATTTTGAAATTTTAAAAAAAGGATATCAAAGCTTAGGAATTGAAAGAAAGCAACAGAGGAAAATGTTTTCAAAATACCACCTGTAAATCAGTTTAACCACAGTTGTTTCTTCAGTGCAATTCATAATGTTCAAAAAAATCTATAAACTATAATGCACATTTGGGGTAAAATGTGGATTTTTTCCCACAGCCCTCAGCAAACAGTAACAGAGAGCAGCACATTTCTGGGGTTGGGGGCATGGTACTAGGAAAGAGT